CAGTCAAGATGTCACATCAGATGTCAGGCGGTATCTTGTTTACGCGAGGCTTTATGATAAAATTGTTTTTTGCTCTGTGCGCGAGACATATAATACAGACAGTAAAAGTGTGGTAATTATCTAAGGCAAGTCCTCTCTACGACCAGCAGAGGACCTAAGGAGCAGTTCATTCCTTTATTTATTTATAGGAACACAGCAATGCTCACAGCACATTATTATACCTACATTTTTATTGTAAGTAAACAGAGAAATCATGAGTAGAGTACCGCGCTGGAAATGTGCTGAGAAGAAATGACCGTGTAGTGGTGGTGAAAGAATATTCATTACTCCGATCGTGCATGGACTATTGCTGCCATACATAGATGGACTGGTGCTGCAAAATGCCACTGGCAAATGCAGAGCCTTAGTGGTGACCCGAATGTGGTTAAAACCAATCTTACTAGCCTCGTACATAGGCGCAAAGTAGTCGGCCTTTCGGTTTCTTAGATGAAGCATTTCGGAGAGTGTACGCAGGAATTGCATAATTTAATTCCTCCCTCTCTCTACCACCATTGGACAACCAGACATTCGGCCAGTCTCCATACTTTCGTCGTGACTTACCATGCATTCGAACCAAATGGTTTTTCTTTTATAGGATAGGGTGACAAACAAGTATACGGTCCACCTGATGGTAAGTGGTTGCTACGGCCCATAGACATTTACATCTATCCCCGATTACGAATCAAAATGCAGATGCTTTGTCACCCGTGGAGACTAAGATGGAATGCCTCGTTTTCAGTAAAATAGTGTCTCCGTTTCTCTTCACTCACCTTACGAAACACAGCAGCATTAAGCTACTAGTTTACGCTGGTATTCTGTGAGAGCGTGATCCTTCCCCGATCAAGACGACATATTCGTGCTACAACTTTACTACTAACATAACTGCACTATGGCTCTGCTACATCGTTCGTCATGTGTACAGCAAAGGAGTGGAATAAGTTACCAGCGTCTGTGTTTCCATCCGATTACAATGTCTTCAAGGCAAGAATGAATAGGCCTTTGGTTAATCAGTGCGCTTCACCATCTTACACTACATCACCACTTACCATCAGGTGGGGTTGTAGTTAAGCACTGACAGAGGGAAACAAACCAGGAGCTGAGCAGCAGTCTTCCTAATAACATCTAAAAATTAAAAAACTTCTGTTGCCTACCCAACCTGCCACGCGAGGCAACTCTGGCAAAATCCTCCCTAAGTGGAAATCTTTGAGGAAGGCCTATGTCCAGCTGTGGACTTTTACAGGCTGTAATTATAATGGAAACAGAGAAAAACTTTATAGAATAAAGTCTATCTCGCTGAGGGGCCTTGAGATTCCTCATACGGCCAGCAGTGAAGGCCTACATCTCAAATCCATGTCATCACTGGCAAAATGCGCTGGTTTTACAATCTTGTTTTCAAGTTTTGGGGTATACGTGACGAGATGTGTCGTAGTCTACCGAACCCTGCACAGCCGAGTTAAATATACTTGCCTAAGTCGTAAAAATTATTCGGTTTTAAGTGATTATATATTAGATTAGATATTTATGAAATTACTTCAACGTGAAATTAGATTTTACTACATGACTCCGTTACATACGTGATACCTAACTCTAATCTAATAATATTTCTATAGAATCGTTTCGAAAAGTTCGTCAGTAATTCAATTAATTAGTGTCATATTTTAATATATTTTTTCGACGACAATTAATATTTTGTGATTGAGCTTGTCGGTGTTCAATAGTTCATAATATCCTTCCGACGTAGGTAATATCCAAAGCATCTTCTCACAGATAAAATTCAAAACACAAGTCCTACACTCTGCCAGAGTTTGATCCAAAACGGCATGTATTCACTTATAGGACTCGTTTTGACTTTGTCGTACTTAGAGATGTTAGAATTTGTCTTGACATGTAAGGACTTTTGCGATCTCTTAAAGGCTTGCGGTCGGATTTTGGAAATGTTAGCTTTTTCGATTTTCCAATTAAATACAGTAACGGTTTTTGCATTGGAGGTAGGGTTGCCACCTAATTATATAAATTATAGTATTTTTTCCCAAAAAAAAAAACAGAAAATATAGTACTTTTGAGAAATTCAGGAAAAAAGGACACATTTATTTTCAATCTTTATGTATTTTTCCATTTGCTTCGGCCTACAATGATGTGAATCTAAGCAATTTCGATTCGTATTAAAATGAATTAACAATTAATTTTTAATTAAATTACATAATAGATGCTCTATTTATTCTTCTATAAAAACTCAATTACACAATCGCAGTTTGTATAAAAAAGTGCGAAAGTTGAATTAGGTATAAAAATATAGTATTTTTCGCACTATATTAATTTTCTATAATATATACTATATAGTATAATTGACTGAAATACATATATAGTAAGATACTACACAGGTGGCTGCTCTAGTTGGAGAGGTGTATTTTTGCGACGTGGATTTAACAGAAACAAACTTTTTTATTCAATATATACTGGCCTCCAAAAAAATCGACCCACCTACGTTTTTTTCGCAAAAAAAGTGTCCCATGGGTTTTACCACAATCGACAAATATTTTTTATCTTGAAAATGTAATAATGCAATAAAAAATATAGGGTTGTAAAAAACTAAAAAATGGCGCATGAAACTTGATATTTTACATACAAGTGTGATGAGACATTGAAACCATAACATTTTACAAAATTTACGATTTTACTGAAAAGATCGATATTTTAAATTTTTTGACATTTATAAAAATGTAAACCTTACTCTAATATGGGGTGTTTCCTCCTCTTGCTTTTATCACCGCCTGCATACGCCCAGTAAGGGAACGGATCAGCTTTTTTATGTCTTCTTGGGGTGTCCGTTCCCATTCTTCTGTTAAGGCAACTTCTAGTTGATCCAAAGTCTCAGAACTGGATTTTGGGCTCTAACCTTTCTTTTTATTTGGTCCCAGCGATGCTCGATGGGATTTAAGTCCGGATCCATCCTGTTACAAATTCTAGCCATCTGCGGTCTTGCGTTATCACGCATGATTTGATAGTTGTACCCAATATACCCAGCGTAAGGCACACATGAGGTTGCAAAATGTCCGTAATGTAACTTTCAGCGTTAACTTCACTATTGCGAAAGAAAACCAACTCAGTACATCCAGTTAAAAATATACCACCCCAAAACATTGTAGAGCCTCCACCAAACCGTTTCTCTTATGCAACACTGAGCATAACGTTCTCCTGGTCTTCGCATAACGTTACGACGTCCATCAGGGCCTACAAGGGTCATTTGGCTTTCATCGCTGAAGAGAACTGTCTCCCATTGACCAAGATTCCATTGCACTGTTGCCTAGCAAATTCTAACCGTGCTTGCCGATGAGATGCAGTGAGTTTTGATCTCGTCGCTGGCTTGTGTAGAGTAGGTTTTGGTCCCGGAGTCTTCTTCTCCCCGTATTCTCCCTTACAGACACTCCACGCGTTTCCCTCGGCCTACCCTGATCATCAAAAAAGCAGAAAGATGCCGATTTCACAAAGAAGTCAAGGCAATAAAACGGTCGGTTGGGTTTGTGAGACGTCGTCTTATGCAGACCCTGGTCTCCGGCGGTACTCTCCCGTCTCTAAGTATCGTTTATAAACTCTACGCACTGCTGATCGACTCAAATTTAATCTCTTTGCCACATTTAGCTGACTTAGCCCTTCACGAACGAGAGCTACCACTGGAGCGACTTCTGCTTCAGTGGTACCCATATTTTATGGTTAAAAGTAACGATATTCCTGCTCCAACAAAGAATTAAAAGATTATGTTACTACGATGCACAGAACCAATAATATTACGCGTTAAAAGTTCGAAAAAACAACCTTGTACTCTATGCACAAGTTGACAATTTTATCTCATCACATTTGTATGTAAAATATCCCATTTTACGCGCGGTTTTTTTTTTTAGTTTTTTACAACCCTATAATTGCATTATTACATTATAGATAAAAAATATCTATCGATTGTGCTAAAAACCCATAGGACACTTTTTTGCGAAAAAAGGTGGGAAACCCAGCGGGACTATTTTTTTAAAATAACAGCTTATAATCATGTATGTTACAATTTACAAAACAAAAAAATTGGAAATAGCATGGTAGCGATCACCCTTCCCAGGGGTTATTAATGAAAATTAGGTAATTTGTTAAGATTTTTTAGTTTTTCATCTGATAACCCTCATTGTACTGGACTTGCCGGTCTACGCTATAACAGTAAACGGTAGGCTAGCCCATGCATGTCCGTACTGGCCCATGCATGTCGGCATGCTTACCACCCGGCGCAGCAAGGTCAGGTGTGGGCTCTGTAAATCGCTAATAGTTAAGCCAGGACTGCCTCTTTGGTCTGGTGATCGTAAACACAATTATTGATCATGTGGTCCCTGGTTCAAATCCCGGATCGGACAAAAATCAGTTATTGAGTTTTTCCGTCGCGAAATTCTGAGTAGCATCCTGGAGTCAGGGATTTGGCAATGTTTCACCCTCGTGCCTAGGAAAGCACGTAAAACCGTTGGTTCCGCGCCTGATCTCTCGCAGATTCGTGTCGCATTGCCGTCCCATCAAACTATGAGAGTAAGGAAATAGAGTGCACCTGTGTGTGTGTGAGTGCACACACTCGTTCACTATAACTATAATCTTGTCTTGCGCAAATGGCTGGCCTCCGTTTAAACTGGCCGCCATTTTATAATCTAGAATTATTATGTTTGAGCCTGTACGTGCGATTGATATTTTTCGTTCAAAAATGAGTCATAAGTACATCAAAGATATATGTAATTAAAATTTATCATATTAACTAACCATAATCTAAGTTGAAACAACTGTACCCTCGATTTCCAAAGAACGTTATCCGCTTATCGGGTCCTGATAAGCAACGATCGTTAACAGAAAGACCGCCATTTTGATTAATCAGTAGTAAATCAAACTGCCGACGCGAGCGTGCCATTTTCTTATTTGAATTTTATAAAAAAATAATAAAAATGGGTTGTGGTGAAACCTGCGTAAAATATATACTGTTCATAGTGAACTTGATCTTTGCGGTAAGTTTGATGAATTTAATAGAAATTATATTGGCCTCGAAACATTTTGGACAGAAAAAAATTTAAAATAATGCACTAAACTGCATTGTGATGTTGCTAAAGTTGACAAATGTTTTCGAAAAACATTTGTCAATTTTCTAGGTGATCTAAAAAATACTGTTTAGTTATTGTACAGGTTATCCGTTCCCTAATTAATGGATAAGCTTAAAATGACTTACAGCAAAACTAATGGCCGTTAAAAAAATATCTAAAAAATATCCCCGATATAACAAAACTCAATACTTATTACAATCAGTATTCAAGCCTATAGAATTATTATTTTTTTTTTAGAAAACTCGACCATATTTTTTTTAAATTAAATTAAAAAAATATTTGGCAATTGTATGTAGTTTTATTTCCTCTAACTCACACGAGTATCGGTATAGCGGGGTCTTTGACAATCCTCTTAATGCAGAGATAATAAAACAACATACAATTAAAAAAAAAATTGAATTAAAATTAATGCATGTGTTTATAAATAAATAAGTGTTGTAAATAAATGTGTTTTTTGAAGAAAAAAATTCTATACGCTTGAATACTGATTCTGATAACGCATTTAACGCGAACCTCAGGGTTTTTGTTACATGTTCTATATAAACACTCAAGCTTGTCACCCAGAGGGGTAGGCAGAGACTACGGATTTCCATTTGGCACGATCCTGACATACCTCTCTCGCTTCCTTTACATCCATATGTCTACGCATACACATTCGTCAGTTACTCTAGTTAAGAGTACTCTTAATGTGGCCCATTTTCAAAATATCGCCAATTTGGTCGATGAAGCTTCTTTTAGGGCGTCCCTTGCCGACTCTGCCGTTCACAACTGCAACATAAATTTGCTTTGTCACTCTTCTCTCGTTCATTCTTTCTACATGACTAAACCACGAAGCATTTCTTTCTTAATGCTGTTCACAACATCATCTTGCACACCACATTTCTCTTATCACGCAATTTCTCACCCTGTCATTCAGATTCAGCCCTAGCATACTCTTTAAAGACCGCATTTCTACAGCATTTATTGTACATTCGCGCTTGCACAACTTGCACTACCATACATTAAAATAGGGATTATTCCACGATTCTACTCCCCTTATCTAAAGGAGAAGTTTAGTTTTGTTGGGCTTTCAGGGGAAGCTCTACGCTCTTCAAGAAATTCATTTTAAGGGGAACCAACTAACAATACATCTTTCTTTAATAAATCTTTTACTGTCCAGTCTATTAAGCTCTGGAATGCCCTACCTTTGCATATGTTATTTTATTGCATGTATTGATATTATATTAGGTCTATTTATATTGCACTACCTACCTAATATTCACTGTTTTATTCCTTTACGCCTTTGGTTGCCTGGAAGAGATCGCTATGTAGCGATAAGGCCGCCAAATTGTACATGTTCTTTGTAAATTTGTTTGTGGTGTACAATAAAGTTTATTCATTCATTCGTTCATAGGGATTAACACAGCATTATGAATTACCATACGTGCCTTTTTTGACTTTTCTGATTTTTCATAATAAAGTGTAGTGCCCCATTCACTCTATTTCCGGATTCAATGTAACCATCAAAGATTACTTGATTTATCAATTTTTCGATTTTTTTTAAAAAAACTCCATGTTTTTTGGATAAAATAAAATATAGCCTAGATTAACCAATCCAGAGATTAACTCCCACAGACAGACTTCAGACAGATAAATAACTAACCCCTACTGTTCATTAAAAGTCAGTTACTTCGATATCACAGACGGACTCTCCAATTTTATTTCTACGTATATATAGTATATAGACGTATAGATAAGATCAGACCAACACTACTATTATAACAAATAATATCACTCTACATAATACATATACAAAACAGAGTGTTAGACGTGGAAAATTCCAAAATATGAGATAACATGGTTTTATTGATGACGTGTGATAGTATTTTTCACTGAACGCTGAGCATTTTTCGTCTAATCTAATTGAATCATAAGTCATAACCATGAACATGCGATGCGTCTCAACATAATAAACTGACACATCATTATTGCCACAGCGATAACCACGGTGGCGCTACTTAAAAATGAGGTGTAATATTTTTCTGATTTCATAGCGGGGAAGTTAATTTGTTACGAATATGTAAAGGTTAATGTTTCCTTCAGCTTTATTCTGCGATGTTAGTGCTGTTAGCCTATGCTCTTACAGCTTCATATCACTCAGGGCTGAGCGCTGGTTAAAAAGGGCAAGGCAATGAAGATGACGATAATGATTGATAATGGTTTATGATGGTTTATAATTTGGTATTGTTACCAATCATCATTTTGCCTCATTTATCGTTTTTGAGTTATCTGACGTCTGTCCGAGTAGGAAAGTGCGGACCCCTGCCTCTGACTGCTCAGCTGGTGTCGGTCGATGGGTTTCCTTCTGTACTAACAGTTATGTTTTATAATAAAATTAGGTTAAAAATTAATAAACTAAAACACTAGAAAAATAAAAAAATAGTTGAAAATGTGCAAAAAATTAAAGAGCAAACCACGGAGGCATTGTTTTCTGTATAAAAAATTATCAGTTTCTAGAGTAATATGTTATAATACTCTAGAAACTGATAATTTTTTATGTTTTTAAAACTTCATCGTCATTATTACAGCCCTTCACACTGCTGAACATAGGCCTCCCCCAAGTAATACCACAAAGTACGGTCCTGAGCCACTTGCATCCATCCACTTCCTGCATGTCTTATCAGGTCGTCACTCCATCTAGTGGGGGGGTCGCCCTACACTTCGCCTACCAGTACGAGGCTGCCACTCGAGAACCGTTTTTCCCCAACGGTTGTCGGTTCTTCGAGCTATATGACCGGCTCATTGCCACATCAGCTTATTAATCCGTTGGGCTATGTCGGTCACTCTGGTGTTATTGCGGATATCCTCATTCCTAAGTTTACACAAAGAAGCCCCAAGCATAGCCCTCTCCGTAGTTCGCTGAGCGACTTTTAGCATTCTCATACGGCCAGCAGTGAAGGACCAGGTCTCAGTTCCACAGGCCATCACTGGCAACACGCACTGGTTGTATAGTCTAGTATATTTTCAGGTTTTGAGGTACATAAACTTACTCCTCAATTAAATGACATTGTGTAACAAAAAACTTCAGCTCAGTGTCAACCGGCGACATCTAGTGAGCGGAACATAATTAACCCTGATTCAGTTAACGGTGTCATAGACAAACAGTAACTATTACATATAGCAATATAACTATTTTATATATGTTTCGATTAAAAATTTCTTCTTTCTTCTTCTCCTTCGTTATCAGCCTGTAAAAATTACTTACGAGCCATCGGCCTCTCCTTTTGAAATGATGCTTTGCCTTCATCATTTTGTTTGTCAGGTGGACTGAGGATCGCTTTGTCGAGGTGCGAGACCTTTGACCATAATTTAGTATAATATAAAAATACGACTTCGCCGATTCTAGACGTCTTCGCTTTGGGTATTTCCTACATCTGACGGAAACAATATATAATATATCTAGTGAAAGTCATGACATTTTTCTTCGTTTTCTTTAGTCAACTTTTAAGACACTCATGGGAGGAAATGGGGTGATAAGGACGTTCACCACACTTTACGCGTAATTTTTTTATAGCATAAGGGTCAGAAACGAGCACACAGTCCACCTGATGGTAAATGGAAGCTATAGCCCATTGATATCTACATACTCGTTATCTACCTAATTGTCTTAAGAATAGCATACCGTACCGTAAACGCTCATCGCGATAAAATAATGAAACCTGTATGTCGTCATGTAGCTAATACAATTTAGAATTAAATGTTGAATATTATAAGAATGTGTGCGTAAAGCAAGATATATTATGTAGACCTACTTAGTTGTTATTATACTTTATTTTCACAATTTTATGATAGTAGGTAGTTATTAAAAATAATATCTTTATGCTTGTAAACGTCTGCCAGCACCAATACAAACCGTTTTGCGGTTTAATGGTGCTGTATAGTAACTATGTACTAAGGTAATATGTTTTATGTATAATTGAAATAAAAAATATCCCCCATTCAGAATCAGAATGCAGCTTAACGTTGTCACGACTGAGGACTGAGATGAAATGCCTCGTTTCCTCCGGTTCTCTACACTCACCATGCGAAACACAGCAGCATTAAGCTGCTGTTATACGAGTACGTTGATACTCTGTGTGAGCATGGTCCTTCCGCTTTCGTGCCGACCGATTTGCGCTACAGCTATGATATAACTGCAGCATGGTTCTACCACACATATATATATATAGAGAGTTTTACTCAATGTGTAATATGCACGTAAATAAAAACAAATTTTATTTCTATTGCAGCTAGCGGGCCTGGCCCTCTTGGGGCTGGGTATTGCGGTACAACTACGGATCGCTACGGTGGTCACCATAGCGGAGACAAATGTCCATGTTGCTCCCATATGGGCTATGGTAGTTGGTGGCATCGTGTTCCTGATCGCATTCTTCGGCTGTTGTGGTGCTATCAAGGAGAACAACTGCATGTTAGTCACCGTGAGTATATTAGCTTCCCTTTACCTTACCTTCACATCCAGCCTAGCCAGTTATTAGGTGTTTTTTTATCAGTAGCATGCCTCGGAAAGAACGTAAAGCCGTTGGCCCGGCAATAAACTGACACTGTTATTCTATGCTTTGCTATTTTTAAGTCATCCGTTTGCGAAGGTGATACCGCTAATTTTGGAGCTTACGAAAATATTCATTGGCGACTCCAACAGAAATCAAACTTACTATAAACTTAGTCTTCAAACTTACTTTATTTAATTCAAAATTGAATATTAAATAAATTCCTTTTTTTTTGTGTAACAATAGATTCTGTAATTTTTTACAGATAAGTTCGAGGTTACAATAAGTCACCGAATCACACCCATAAATATTTTTTGTTTCGATTTTTATATCCCAAAAGTATATATTTATATCGAGAAATTCATATAATATTAATATAATTAATAAGAGAAATAGGAAAGGCCTTATCACCCTATCCCATAAAAGGCCCAAAAATGCTACCTTGCGGAACACCGAAAGAAATCGTCCTCAAGGACCTTACAATATACCAATCCTAATCTTAAACTCAATCAATAGTGCCCTGTACTATTATGTACTCTGTGTCAATAGATAGTGAGTGGCCTCACTTTATTGTTCCCATATGACGTTATTTTAAGTGAAATAAGGGTCACTTAATTTGATGCATTTTTGATAAAATAAATACTGTCTAATTATTATGATTTCATAAATATCATATACTGGATTTTTTTACAACCTGGAAAAAATAGAGTGTAACAAGTGAACGCAAGAGAAGCCTACGGCACTGATATTTTACAATTTTTTAATTTATTTTACATTAACATATTATAAAATTGATCTTTAAATACTACTAATTGGATACGTATTATTTTAATTTCGATAGATTTTAATTGACTGATTCATTTAGTTCAAAAATATTGTTATTTTTTAATACCGAAAGTTTGTTTCAAATTACATATAGATTCTATTCCGTTCACCTGTTACACTCTAATTTTTCCAGACGGTAAAAAAATCACCAGTATAAAAGGATCAAAAATGAATAATCACTTAATTTTTTTATATAGGTATATTAAAAATGTTTGTTATTCACTAATTTAAAAAAATATTTTAAAAATTCTAAGATCATGTGCGAGATAACTGAATGAAGCAGAGGCTAATAATATAATAGGCAATTTCAAGAAAAAATTAATAACGTTTTATTGTCTCCGAAAATAATTTATGATAATATTAATAATTTTAAATATTTCCTTTCCAGTACGCCATCATTATGATAGTTTTGATGATCCTGAAAGTAGCACTCGCCAGTCTGATCTTCGTAAACTTGGACGCTGTAGTGGCTGAAATTATTAAAAATTTGAATGAAGCATTTAGTAGTGACCAAGCCGCATTCCAGGAGCTTGAATCATACGTAAGTATATATTATGTATAATATATATATATATATATATATAAGCGGTATATATTATGCCAGATATTATCCAATCTAGCGGCAGGATACGCGTCAAATGTATTCGTACTTCGGTCACCAATCATAGACAGCAACCCAGGGCAGCGATAAAGGCAAACATTCGTAACTGCAGGAGTAGCCCATATCCAATGGTAGACTACTAAAAGGCTAATGAGGGGGCGGAGAAAGCCTATTTATGCGATTTTCAACGTGATACAGCCACGCTGCAGTTATGTATGTAGTTGTATCACGAAAAGGTCGGCTCGAACCACGGACTACGGTTAGGACCACGCTTTCATAAAACACCAGTGTAAAATAGCAGATTAATATTGATGTGTTTAGTATGGTAAGTGTAGAGATCTGGAGACCCTTTCTACTGGAAACGAGGCTTCCATCTTAATAAAATTTCATTAACTACCACTTGTACTTAACATTTTTTACATTTTTGCATGTCTCTATTAGGGACTTAGTATGTAACTATTTAACAGTATCTCATGTAACATACATAATGAAATACAAATAAATAAATGGTCCTCATGGTGGCAACGTATCTGCATTTTGATTCTTAATTAAGGTTAGATATAGATGTGTATTTGCTACAGCATCCACTTACAATGGTAGACCGTGTGCTCGTTTGTCACACTTATTCTATATAATATAATACTCTAAGCTTTTCCGAACAGTTCCAGTGCTGCGGTACAACCGGCGCAAGTTCATACACCGGCACGTTACCGGACAGGTGCTGCGCGGACACTCCTTGTACAGCTACCAACGCGTACTCCGGCTGCAACGAGCAAGTGGAGAGTCTGTTCGAGACCTTCGGCTTCACCATCGGCTTGTTAACTATTGTTGTCGCCGCTTTTGAGGTGAGAATTCGTATCACTTAGGCTTTATTATGTTTCTCATTGTAGGATCCAAGTCCGTTGCTAAACAAAAGTGCTGTGAAGAAAAGCCAATGCAGATGGTTTGCAATCAGCATAGGCTTAGATAGATTGTATCAACATACTTTTGTATAATTTTTTAAGCAACAGACATACCAAAGGACCGAGGGTGTATAAGTTTTACACAAGCGTCTCGCAACCTACGCACACAAAAACGGGGTTCACCTACAACTAGTACGCTAATCACAGAGGAATTGCGTTAGTAAAAAAATGCGTTTTCGTTTATTTTTTCTTTCTAAAGATTGCCAAGCTTAAACTTCTACTATTATATCTAAGAACGCCTCGTTAGTCCAGTGGTATCACGCGCAACCGCTGATTATATGGTCTCGGGTTGGAATCCCGGATGGGCTAAAATTATTTGTTGAGATTTTCCAACACGAAATACTTAGTAGCTGCCCGGAAACAGGAAGTTAACGGTGGAAAGTACGTGAAGCCGTTGGTTCTGCACCTGATCTCTCTCGGATTGCCGAACCACCGAAATATAAGAGTGAGGAAATAGAGAGTGATCTTAGAAGATTGATCCACCATATTATGTCGTAGTCGTTTCTTTGGGGAGGCCTATAGTTAACAACGGACTTGTAAAAAATTTAAGTTAAAGTACAGCCTAAGAGGCCTTGGAGGTAGCCGTTAACTATGACATTGGGACGTGTAACACCTCAGTCCCCCTGTCCCCCTATATTAATATTCGCGATATAATTTGTAAACACTAGTTTTATTAAAATTAGTAACGGAATGTTCGATCGAAAAGCGGTTTGCGGCATCCGAAAGGGCCTCGATGAACAACGATTTTCTGTGAATTTAGACCGAATCGGCACGGTGTATTCTGATAAAACCTCAAAAATTCGAGTTTTTTTAAATTACTTCGATACCCTTGTTTTGATCAATTCTATAATCTAATCAGCTGTTAATTTTTTCGAGAGATATCGTTGTCGAAATAAATCTCGAAAAAGTGTTTTTAAAAATTGCTTGAAATTTTTTGTCAAATCAATTTTTTTGTAATAAATGTTTTTGTTAAATTCAAAAAATGACGTCGATTGCCGCAAGCCGCATCAAAATCAAAAAAGCTTGAAAAAGATCGAAAAGTTCAAAAACGTTGATACAGATGAAATTTGAAGCGCTTTGCATTTGAAATTAGCGAGAAGCAGGGATGCCTGTAGGCGCAACCGTAGTTTTTTTCAGACATGCAGGCTCCCTCACGATGTTTTTGTTCACCGCCGAGCGCGTGGTAGCTCAGCAGTTAAAATTGCAATTAACAATTTCATTGGTGAACGGAGAAGAATTTAAATAATATTTGTCGGTATTGTGTTAAACGTTTAGGCATTTTGGTTAAACTCTTGTCTCAAAAAATCGTTTATGTTTTCAGCTGGTGGCGGTGGTGTTCGCCCTGTGTCTGGCCAAACACGCGCGTAGGAAGAACTCACACTATTAAATCTTCCAACATATAGATTTTGGTTATTCGTATAAAAACTGTATATAATGACCATGTTTTCTTTTTTGATTATAGCTACCTATACTTAATTATAAGCGAAAATTAGGAGTACATTGAAAATGTTCTCTAATTGTACTTTTAATCAAAAAGCCACAGCAATGTCTTATATTAGTAAGATGATGACTAATTTAGTGAAACATTAGGTGGACAAATTAGCATGCCTTGATGTTATACTATGCACTAGTATTGTATATATCGAAATTATTCAGTATAACTCAAATCATAATAAACATATTTAATATTTTTATATTAACGTTGTAAAAACACGACATGGCACTTTTATTTATCGCCAGAGACCTAATCCTATTCATAGACATATATAAAAATTTCACAGTTGTCGCCCAGAGGGGTAGGCGGAGACTAAAGACTTACCTTTGGCACGATCAGGATGGATATATGCCCTGGCACATCTATCTCGAATCCTTTACATCCATATATCTACGCATACACGCTCGTCAGTTAATTAAATTAAAATTACGTAAAGTTACAGCCTATATACGTCCACAGGCCTCCCCTCATTTCTGAGAAGGTTTTAGGGCAAAGAAGACCGCGCTGCCGCAATGCGTATTGGCGAACTTTACATGTCTTCGAAATATTTTTTTCTTATTCCTCAGACATGCGGTTTCCTCTCGATGTTTTTTTTATATTTTATTTTGGAAGCTATCAACATAAAGGGAATTAATGATAAAAGTTCAAAAACAGTTATTCGAGTTATATGTGGGATAAAGCCTACAGAAAGTTGTATGCCATACTTTAGATCCTTATTATTAATATTAGACTGTATTTGTATACTAGAAGCATGTATGTTTGTAAAGTAAAATTCGAATTTTTTTGAGATGAGTGTACAATCATCTTCTATTAACTTTCGTCCTCGGAAACAAAAAAAAACCGAACAAGTGTATGTAAAACTGCTCTTATGAAAAAAGTGTTGTTTAAATGGACCCTAAATTATATAATAAATTACCTGATCACATAAAATGTCATAATGTGCAAAAATTTAAATGTATATTAAATAATTTTCTTATAGATATATTTCTTATTGTAATGTCAATGAAATTATTTTTACTAATGATTTAAATAAGTAATTTAATAATTTTGTTTTGACTCTTCTTTATTAAATTTAATTGTTATTTGATTTGTTACATTTATATTTAATTGTATGTGTTGATATACACATTCGTACACTGTAAAGCATTTCACGGAAACCTGTGAAAACGAAAAAATAAAATTTAATTTAATTGAATTGAATAAGTGCTTCAATGGTGAAATAACAGCCTTTTGTCCGGTGTGAATAAGGCACACGCATATAACGGCTGGGTCATGCCTGTCCTCATGTATATCTTTGGCATACTCAGGTGGACTCAGACTGAACTTAACGCCCTGGATAGTATGCATCATCCGAGATCGTCGGTAATGAGGCTGTACTTGCCGCGAAAGCGTGGTGGGCGTGGCTTCCTGAGCGCGCTCACCATGCATAATCGCGAAGTGTGCAGCCTCCGTGATTTCTTCCTGGCGAGATCGGATGATCCATTCTATAATGACGTCATTTCTAGTGATAAAGGGCTTACCCCTCTATCCTTAGCCAACGAGCAATGGCAGGACCCGGCAGTACAAAGCATTTCCGGCCGGGAGACCGTATGGAAAGAGAAGGAGCTCCACGGGAGGTACTACAGGGCTCTATATGAGCCCTTCGTAGATACAGTCGCCACCCTCAACTGGCTACGTTTCGGTGACCTTTTCGGGGAAACCGAGGGTTTTGTCTGTGCAATACAGGATCAGGTTATTAGACCAACAACTATCGGAGATACATCCTAAAGGATGGCACCGTCGACGTCTGTCGAGTTTGTCGCCATCCCGGTGAGTCACTTAGGCATGTCATCTACGGTTGTTCGGCGCTTTCTAACTCTGAGTACTTGCACAGGCACAACCTAGTAGCCAGAATTCTACACCAGAAGCTCTCTCTGAAATACGGTCTCGTGGACCGGAAATTGCCGTGTTACATGTATTTGCCGGAAGCCGTGCTCGAAAATGACCGCGCCAGGCTCTACTGGGACCGGGCCATCATCACAGACAGGACTATTCTTGCGAATAAGCCTGATATTATGCTGATGGACCGGGCACAGTCAAGGATATTTTTGATCGACATTACCATTCCATATGACGAGAAACTCGTGAAAGCCGAAACAGATAAACGAACAAAATATCTGGACCTGGCTCACGAGGTAACCGACATGTGGGGTGGTCTGCCGGCCGAAATTATTCCTGTAGTCGTCTCTGCGAATGGGCTAATCCCAGTCAGCCTCTCGGGTCATCTGAGGCGACTGGGACTCCGTGACGCTCCTCGATACCGCCCGCATCGTCCGCCGGTTTCTTTCCCTTTCCTCCTAACCCTCGGCCGTTTGGTCTCCCCTGCCGAGGGCTTCCATCTGGTTGGGTCTTATTTATTTATGTATTTTTTTGTATTTATTTTATTTTATTGATATTTATGTATATTTATCTTTTCATTTTAACTTAAAATTATATATTTATAGAACCCAACCTGATGAGAAAATTATATAGATACCCCAAAAATAATAATAATCACTTTATTTCAGACATAATCAGTCCATATTAAGTGTAAGTATATTAGTAACAATTTTACTTAATAACTATGTTAGTAATGTTAGTATTTATGCCTAAGTTATAATTATATATAAATACAAAATTCATTGACATTTTAGTCCTATTGCCAGCTCTACCCAGTGGCGCTGAAAGTGGCAATCTGGTCTCGCCGCGCTCATTTTTAAAATGCTATTGTTACTGTTTCGCGGATGCTGTAACATTGAGGCTGATTTCTTTCGCATAACAGCATGAAATCCATCAGTCCTAGCATCCGCGAACATTTTCGATGCACTACACCGCCATGGCAGTCCTAATAGCATCCTAAAAGCGTTATTGTATTGTATGCGAAGGGCGCTGTAAGCTCGTCGCCTGTATGATACCCACAGGCTACTCGAGTAAAAAGATTGGCAAAATGCTTTGAAAAGAGTAACTTTTACGTCATGTGTACATCGAGCAAACCTGCGGGCAAGCATATTTCTCCTAACTGCCAGCGCTTTATGCTCTCTCTATATATCACAATCATCGCTTAAATCGCTCATTATAATGTGACCGAGATACTTAAAAGTATTAACAATATTTAGGGCCACACCATTGAGGTATACGGGAGGAACACAACGCGGCGGTTGTGTCGGTGCTGTAAAAACAAGAATTTCACTCTTTTTCGAGTTGTACTTCAAGCCGTGGTCCTCCGTACATTTCTCGCAAATAGACAATAATTTTCTTAACCCGCCTATAGATGGACTGAGCAGCACCATGTCGTCTGCATAGCTTATATTATTAACACATGTCCCGTCAATATGACAGCCGACATGTGTGCTAACCAGTTCCACGATAAGCTGGTTAATATATAAATTAAATAACAACGGTGAGCTTTAACCGCCTTGTCTGACACCAAATTTTAGTCTATATTCATCTGATAGCGTACCCGCCCATCTCACCTGGTTTTTTTGATTACTGTACCAGTACTCGATCAGAGAAGTATAATCCGCCGGCACACCTGCGTCCCTCAACTTGCTCCATAGTATATCATAATTGACGGAGTCAAAAGCCTTGGACAAGTCGAGGAAAAACGCGTATACTGGCGTCCTCCTAACCCTGTAATAACCGACAGTATGCTTCAATGTAAGAATTGCACTTTTCGTTGAAATCCCACCCTGAATCCGAATTGGGGATCATGCACATCTACATATTATATGAAGCAACCATTTAACAAACTGTCAAGTACTTTCGCCGCGGTGGTAGCAAGTGAGATGATAGTGTATAGAAGTATCACCTGTCTTATTTTTAATAATTGGTACCACTATTGTTCGCATCAATCCCTCAGGCAAATACGAGTGACCTAGACACAGAGTAAAAAACATGGCAAGTACCCGTGGTAAATGGATCCCTGCGTATTTGAAATGTTCAATGCTGAGCCCATCATGACCCGGAGAATTCCCACGCTGCATTCTTTCAATAATCTGAGCCACCATTTTAGCAGGTATTTAACATTACGTTCCTTCACGATGGTCTCATTTCTCCATCTTCTCCTTACACATGGGACTAAAGAGTGAGCATGGTGAACTGTTTCCTAAAAGCATTCGCAATGTCTTTATGGTCATGAGCACCACCAACGTCCACAGGGAGACACGGCCTTATATTAATTTTATGTGTGTTTTTCCAGAAATTTTTAAACTTTTTCAAGGAGTGGTCGGAAGTAAGGCGATCTATTTTAAGTTGCTCCTGCCTGTCCTGGCATGGTGCCAGGAACACTAAAAAATTTTTTTTTATTAAGTTTCACTTTAAAATTACTCCTTGCCTCCGACATATCGTGAAAAATTCGACCACTAGCTGGCCGCCCGGCTAAATTCCACAATTTAAATTTCAGCCTCGCGTCCCGGTGAGGGCCCGCGACATGCTTATTCCATCCAAAAACATAACCTCCCTTCTTTCGACACTTTGTGTGTTTGGATAGCTGCCTCTGACAATATATTTATAATATCTAAATATAACTTATCTAAGATTAAGTGATGATTCTTGTTATTATAGAACTCATCACAACAAGCACTTAGTTCCTGTGGAAATTCAATGAGTCTTAACTTAGCATGACAGAGGTCATGGTACTGATGGATTTGCTGCTGCTGTCTCTCTCCCCATATAACATGATTTATTGGTTGACAATTTAGCTACTTTTGGCTTAAGTTTACCCAGATTACATACGACTACTAGTGGATAGTGGTCAGACCAATACACGTCAAATTTAACCGTTACGCTAACGATTGTATTCCGCGCCGACTCTGTGACAATGCAGTGATCCAACCATCTATTACAACCGTGAGCCTCACTACAATATGTATATG